ATGCAAGATCGTTTAGTCCCAGGAGAACATACGGGTTATGCCCCACTTGAAGGGTCTTGTGTAACTTATGGCATGACCATCAGTTCAGATCGGGGTCGAAAGCAGTCTACGCCACACCGCAATGGGGTAGTAACCGAGCCTAGAATCGCTTCTTACCGACAACACGTCAAGTACACACTCAGTACTCGCGTCGCCTTAAACTTCATGAACGCACCCAGAGGGGGGGGGGGGTGGAAAGGAAGGAGGAGGGGCGAATTGTGCTCCTTCCTTTTCCCGTGTGGTGGTTGTGGTGTCAGGCCACTGCGGGACAAAAAAGGATGGGATTTTGCTAGGCTGGAAGGGGAATAACACAAGTCAATGAATGATGCAGAAGGCGGAGGGGAATGGCCTGGGCCAGCGGACGTGGGTACTTTGGACTTGGACCCTGAAAAACTTGGCCGACGACGGAAAGAAGAAAGAGGCCGCAGCCAATGGGGATGGGGATGGATGCAGCAGGCACGGAAGGAGACAAGGGAAGGAGAGAGAAGGAAAGGGACAGCTAGACCAACAAGAATCAGTCGATGCGTTATGTACTGTGTCAGAAACTGTGTACATTGGTACTCTTCCACGTTGCACCAGACACAGAGGTACCGTATGCTTCCGAGTTTGCCCTCTAATAGCTCCAATAATCTGAACTCTCGGAGAGGAACGTTTGGAGGCAACAATCAACGATGCACCGAATGCTCAACCATAGGGACAGCATGCTGATACTGTGCTAAATACAATACTTGTACCTTGTACTCCGTACAATCCACTACCTAGGTAGTTATCTAGCCCTAGGTACTTTCGTACTGATACTACTTGTATCATGATGAAATGTTAAAATAAAACGAGCGAGAAGGAAGGAATAATGCAGAAGATACAGACAGACAGGAAAGAAAGGAGAAGAACTCTAGAGAAAACGGGACAGGGAAGAACCACCCAGGCCAGAAGCTACACTAAACAGACACAAGCAAATATTTCGTTTTCGTCTCCAGCTGCAGGTGCGGTGTCGTGTCAGAGTCCTCGGCTACGCTACCGTCAGACCCTTATGTAAGCCAGTCCGGTTCCTACCACCGATCGCAATGTCCGCCACTGGTGCACTTCACGATACTGCATCTCCGGAGTTCCCACTCCTGCTCTCCGGCGAATCATGTAACATGGTTCGCCAGTCTCCCTTTGCTCCAACTTTAGCACTAGGTATGGCAACCTCGTCGGTTTATTTGACTTTATGTCTTATGCCTCATTGGCCCCTCAACTACCCGAAAACTTTTCCCGGCTCTTTTTGCCTCCACCCGCCGCCGGGCGCGGGCGTTGGCATGCCGGAAATGCAAACCGACCCTCGCCCTATGCATGTTCTGTCTCGCCCTGCGTGTCCGTGATCGACATCACTAAATCTATAGCTCGTCTCGCTCCCATTCACCCTCTTCCGTTGTCTTTACGCAGCTCCACGACTCCCTGTCATCTTTATCGCCACCGTCGAACCTAATTGCCGACGGGTACGCGCAGAGCGGCCTCGTCGGCGCCTCGCTCTCGTTGCCCCCGTTGAGCTTGAACCCGTCCAGCACCGCTGGTGCCTTGCCCTCCTCCACCCACGACCGCAGCGTCTCGAGCCCCCTGAGCGGGTAGTAACTGCCGTTGAGCCCATAGCAGTGGAATACCCCGGGCGCTTCGAAGTGCCGGTAGTACCCGGCCGCCCCGGCGTCCCCCGCGAGCACCCGGTCGTAGTAGTTCCGCGTCGACCGCATCGTCACGCACTCGTCCCAGAGACCGTGCCAGCTGATCATCTTGCCGCCCAGCCGCTGAAACTCCGATAGGTCCGCGTCGTCAGCCCCCATGATGGCGTCGTACTCCCTGCGGCTGGTTGCGAACGCCGCCTCGAGGTCCCCGATGCTCATCTCCGTCACCTCGTAGCCCCGGTCCTTGCGCACGAAGTTGCGGATCCACTCCGCCGCCATCGGGAACGGGCGCCCCACGCACCCTCTCCCCGGCACGCTGCAGTTGGTGTTGCCCAGCCCGAAGCGGCCCGTGAACGGCGCGCCCACGGGATACCCCTTGGCCAGCCACAGAGGCTTGCCGTTCGCGCCGTGCGGGCCCCGCCAGATCTCTCGCGCGATCTCGGCCATCTCCGCCGACATGGCCATTTTCATCGTTCCGCAGTCGAGCTCCCGGCCAATGGCGTCGGCGGGGTCGAAGGCGCACTTGTCGGGGTCCGCGATGACGCCGTCCTTGACCCCGTCTAGCTCGTCGCAGGCGTCGATGGCGAACTGGCTCATATAGATGAGCTCGCACACGTGCGGGTAAAACTTCTTCTGGTTCATCACGAACTGTGGCCAGTACGTGCTCATGATTAGGCTTGGCTGGTTGATGGCCGGCGCCCCGGCGTAGATGCCATTGTAGTCACCCGGGTACCGCTGCGCTTCCATGAAGCCCTGCCTACCGCCCGTCGAGCACCCGTTCCAATACGAATACTTGGGCGCCCTCGAGTAGTACTGTTCCACGACGGACTTGGCGATGACCGTCATGTCATGCACCGAGACATGGGCAAAGTTGACCATCAGCCGCTCGTTGATCGTGCCGTCGTCCTTCAGCGCCCATGGTGCCTCCTGCCATGCCTTGTCGCTATGTCCGGCGTCTGTCGCGCCCGCTGGTACACTTCATCAGTCCTCGCCCTGGATGGAAAAAAAGAGATGATTTACTATGTACGCAGGGAGGGAAAGGGAACTGGGGGTTGGGCGGGTGAAAAGTCTGAAACCTACCTGCATAACCCCGCGCCAACGTCGCGACAACTTGCTCGCTGCCAAACTGCCCGGCCGAGTAGCCCCCGCCGCCGACACCCACGAACCGCTCGTTCCAGCTCTCCGCGGGCGGCAGCCACACCTGCACCCGCGTCGCGTCGTCAAAGCCCGTGTGGACGTACGTGACCGTGACGTTGCAGAAGCTGACGCCGCCCGACGACGGGATGGCTGCTCGGCCCTCGGGCGTCCTCGCGCTGTACTCCAAGTCCTTGACCTCATCCGCCGCAAAGCTGACAAGGTCAGCGCCCTCGAGCTCCACGGGGAATCTGAAGGCGTCGGGCGAGCACGGGTTCTGCGCGACCGCCCATGTCCAGTCTGCTAAGCGCAGCACCGCGAAGAGGGTCGAAAGGCGCTTCATGGTACGTGCAATGCCGGGTTTACGGTTTAGATCTTTTTCACGGGAGCGACTCCTTTGATTAAAATCAACATCAATGGTATCCTACAAAGACGCCTTGGAACAGGCGTCGAGGTTGTTAAATCCAATTCGGATTTTGCCAGTGGCCGGCGAGCGCCTGGAGGTATGCGGATGCGCTGGCTTAACGTGCAAGTGGCGCCACGTGCTCAGACTTCGACTATAACACAGGGCAGGACACCGTCGGATTGATGCGTGTCGCAAAGACTTTTTTTTCCCTTCTCGGACGGGATCTCGGGGGCCGCCAAGGTCCCGCCGCATGAGAAACGGCGCGGGGACAACCATAGGCCTTGAATGCTTTTTTTTTGTTGGATTGCAGTGTCTTCGAAAGTCCGGCGACGGCCTCGACGGGCTGAGCTGCGAAGTAGATGCCATGGAGACCTTAATATGTGATGTGCTGGCAATGCGAACCAGCCGGATCTGGTTTTCATAACTTTCCCTACCCCGCAACCGTAAAGCTAGTCTCATGCGAACCGCCGTGCTGCTCTCTTCAATCTTAGACAAGTGGCAAATGGAAGTACTTCTGTCAGTTAAGTTCGAATCCTATCGGCGTCACATTTTCGGGTTGTTGGCCCAACTGTTTCTTTAGACAAACAGCGCAAGGCAGGCTAGAAGGGCTGAGTTGGCAAGCGCTAAAGAGGTAGCACATACCCGCGCCTCCATCATATGTGCGTGGCAGTCCGCCGTGTGGGGATCTAATGGTACTTTGATAGACCGCTGAGGTATATTTGCCTTTGATGATTGTTTCTGAGACTGGATCGAAGCGCGACGGGTAGAAAAAACTAGACTTGAGCCAAAGGAGGGAGGGAGACTTTACCTGAGAGTACCCAATGCAATGAGACGGGTAGCAGGTAGGTTGTGATTTGTCGTTCGCTTGCCACTCAGTCTACACTTCTGCCGCCGGCAAATGCAACCCGACATTTTAAACCGGACGATGGCCCGCATGAGCCGTCCAGTCCCATGCGGGCACTTTTGTATACCCCGGCCCGCCACAATTTCGACAAGTGTCAATGTTATCCGGCGGGTTTCTGTAAACTCCGAGCCCCCTCATGAGGGCGGAGAAGACGGCCACCGCGAGATGCGTGGAGCCCTTGGCCTTAAAGAGCCTGGCAATCCGACAGTCTCGCGGACCGAAGCCGTCCATTAATGCGTTGTCGTGCCCAGCCTTGGTATGGAACTTGGTTACCTGTTGACTATAGAGCTCCGGTACAACGTGTTATATGTTGAAAGCATGACTTGGATAGAGGCAGAGCATTTGGTCTTGGTTAGGTAGCGTGTGCTGATCCGTTAGCGCTGAGACAGTTGAACATTCTGTTTGAAAAACATGCATAACCGGCTTGGAAATTGAGTGAGACTGGACCTACAGAATGATTTTCTCTGCTGTGCTTGGGATACCTAGACCTAGCTGTCGATGTTGGATTCGCAAGAATTGTTTCTACTGATACGGAATTCGCCCCTTATGTATCGGTGCATGGGCTACTTTCGATACATCCCCTATTTTCATGCCGAATTCCCCTTCGGATGGAAACGTTATTTTCAAGAGGTGGCCCGTGACCTCGCCCTAATTTGGCCCCTTTTTCTTCTTAGGCAGGCTCGCGTTCAGCAGGAACCAAGCCTGCGGCATGTCAATTTTGACTGACACAGGACGGCCACGTCGGCGCAGACGCTGTCCACTGCTCCCACTAACCAATGCCTCGATTCCGTGCTGTATCACGTTCATTTCTCGATACCGTATTCGAGTGAATGTACTTGGTTGGCTATACAAATGCTCATGAATCTGAAAGGAGTGACAGATGAATCAAAAACCACACTCTCGTCCTGAAGCCTTCACACCCGATCGTCGATGGCGGCCGTCATACAATCGGCCAGCTTGCCTTTCTTATGAGTGTATGCTCTAGCACTCAACTCTGAAGGACCAGCATCCCTGCAGCGAGTGGCACTGGTGGGAGCTGAAGGCCCTGACCACGTTCCCGTCACAGTTTCCGCCCGGGTAGCATCGAACTATTCGGGCCAAGTTAGCCATGACTCCACACAAGGATCATTGCGGGGAGTACTCACTCTTGCAAGCGGTGTTGTGCTCGAGGATCCTCATGCCATGGTCGGTGCTGTACAACGGGTGGCAGGCGCCGCGGTTGTAATCACGTGCTGGGCCTTCCTGGCTGGAGCAGTTGGCCTTGCCGCTCTTCTTGAGCTTGAAGTCGGCGGCAGAGGCGGCGGAACCCAGGACGGCGCAGGCGGTGATGACAGTGGTGAAGATGTTGGAGATGAGCATTTTGAAAAGCGGAGTTAGTGATGTCTTTGGGGGGGCTGTCTGTTGATGGAGATGGTGAAGATGCGGATGCAGGCTGGTTGGAAAAGATAGATGGTCCTAAGAGGAAGGAATACAGGCATATTTATATTCGACTGAAGGGCTCTTCCTAGTATGTGTCCAAGTCCATCATCGACTGAGGGAGCACAATAGACATCATAGTGAGTCGACAAACATGACCTGGTAGTACTGGCTTCATGTGTCAAGATAGACAACTTTGAAATGCTTCAATTCGGTTGACGGATGTTGTCATCTTTGCAGAGCTGTGTGCCAGCCACTTAGCTATAGCTCGGCCAGTTGCAGAAGTGAGTAAACACATAAGCGCCAAGACGGCCTCGATTGGCCGTCTAGGGCAATCGAAGAAAGTCCTACCTGGCTAACGATCAAACAGTCAGCTTATTTTCTTGTCGGGCGTATTTTGTCTCTCGATGTTCCGCAAAAGTGAGAAATGGCAAACTAGCATCTATTGGGCGGTCAGGGTGATGATCTCTCTGACGAATCTTGCCATTGTGATTAGTTGTGAGAAAGAGAAGTAGGGGCTCAGATGGATGCTTAGCGACGAGGGTTGGTCTACACAGTTTGCCTAATACTTGATTGAGGCCTTGAATAGTGAAAATAATTAAAGCATGGCACAGAAGTATTTCGAAATGCCTTCAGCCGTGCCGGACTCAGACGAGAGAAGAGGAGAGATATGGACCGCTCGGCTATGGCAACATGGCTATTTTGGTGTGATACTCGTGACCCCCCTGTTGTTGCTGGCTCCACGGCTTCTTACCGCAGTCGTTCGTCCTGGTCTCACAGGAAGGAGCCTAATTTGTACGTTGGTTGTCCCTATGTAACAGTGCTGGTGTGAGACGATGGTTGTCCACGACTATCCATCAATCTCATCCTAGGACGCTGAATTGTTGCACGAGGTGAACTTCTCCAGCCAATACGATTCGGCTGACACATAGCTTCACCAAGCGATTTGGTAACCAAATGCAAGACTGCAAAGCTGCCCAACGATTTCAAAAAGATTCAACATGCAGCTGATTACCGTTCCACTCTGGGATATATGCTCTCATTTCACCATTCTAGGATAAGAGCTGATCTTAACGCGACAAGTGTCTCTTACAAGCCCCTTGCAAGCAGAGAGAGAAACCCCGTGGAGGAAGTGTTAAAGCTGCTGCGCGTAGATTGGTTGTTTCTGCAAAAGATCTTCCTATGATATGTCTGGGCCAGAAACAGCCAAGAGGCTAAGCGGATGCCGGCCCGCTGCGCCCCCCCCACATAAGCCCGACTACATATATTTGCCAAATTTGGATTGGTGTAGCGGGTTAACATCACGAGAAGGTTTGAAAAGATGTAGCAATCTACCTGACCATATGCTCACTGTCTTTGTGGTGCCAAGCAATATGATTGTATTGGCCAGCGGATGTCGGCGGCCTCGTCTTGGCTGCGCGCGTTGAGTAAATGCTGGGGAATTACACAGCATGTTCATGTCTTCAAACGTTGAACTCTTATTTCCGGAGATGGCAACGCTGACTTGTCCATTCTACGAAAATGAATTGTGCGGCTAGTCCTGTAAATCTTTGTAGCCTGGGTCCGTACATCTGCTGTTGTATAGCCTCGATTAGTCGCGAAATGATCTTAGTTCCATAGTGTCTGGGCAGTCATTCCATCAACTCTTCCGAGGGTACCTTGTTCCACCAGGTGGTATTCTTAACTTCTCGGACAGGATTGTTGGCCATTAAGATCTGTAGATGAAACTTGGCCTTCAAGTCCCAGTTCCGACCAGCGTCGTGCTTTCAGTCTTTGAATCCACCAGCGGCTTTTTTGGACTTGCGGTATCTTCTGTCGGTGTTATATATCTCATCCGTCTAGAGACCATATCCTGACCCTCACCAAAGCGAGCCGTCTTCACCAATCTTGAATTCTTATATCATGTTCCAGCAGAGTGATTACACAGATTGTTCTCCGCCGTCATTCTTGGTAGCCTCTCGTTCTGGCCATCCATGTTAAGCCCCGTCATCATCACTGGCTTGATCGCCTCTTCTGGCATCGTCATGGGCGAATATTGGCAAACTTTAATACTTCCTCTACCACTTCAAAGTCTACGGTTCTGGTAAATTGGACTTCAGCACCACGCCCTGGTGCGAAGTGAAAGAGTAAGATACTCAAGCAGCGCGTGCGTAACGAAACCAATGGAACAGGAGATGAACAACACAAGCAAAGATGTGTAGATGCGTAGATAGTCTATTAAAGCTAGCTCCTCGAGGGTGAAGTCCTCAAGAGAGTTTGGCTATATACTCGTGTGGTGAGTGAACATGCACGTGTCTACGGTATCGAGACTATCTACCTACATGAGACTTCTGACACTACACTTGTGACAGCGGGCTGACAATTGATCTGCTTTTTAACAAGCTTAGTATATTTTCTCATAGCTGCTGCTGCATGAGAGGCTACTAGATTTCCTAATCATATTACAGTAGAACCTCGATCACTGCGGCTTAATGAAAATTTGGTTCTTGGTGGGGTTGGTAACATGGGGAAAGAAGTTTGAACGACTGAAACACGATGGCTTTTTTACCAAGAAGGCCCTTTGATTCTACAGACTTGGATCTACCAGTTAATTGTGTGTTGCTCTAAGAGGATCCACTATGTCGTCGACTTCTGTTGGTGCCTTGGATGAATTTTTGGTGGTTTTCAAACAAACACCAACGTAATAAACAGGTAGTTCTTCAATGGCTTGAATCTCATGCAGCTTGTGGTGCTGGTTATGCCCAAGTGGCCCGGGTCTATTTGCAGCCTAGTATGATGGCAATCATCTCAAGACGCACTTTAGAACGTTTGAGTCAACGATACTGCTGGCACTACAGGGTTATTAGCCTAGGTCGAAAGCGTGAGGAATAGTTGAGTTATGGTGGCTATTTTCAACTACCCGAAAGGAAGAAATGAAGCTATCGCGGGTGGCCGTGTTGAGTGGGGTATCCACTGCCCCAGTGGATAACGTGGGTGGTGATGGGCCGTATCGGAGACAAGCCCCACTATCGGCGATTGCCGGCGATGTCCGCCATCGCAACAGATGTTGTCAGGCCCATAACGGGCTGTGCCTGTATTAGTTTCTTTCTCCATATGTAATGGCCGTCTATATGTGTCCATATTCCCCGAAAGCAGAGATCGTGATATAGTTCTGGCTCGTGCGGCGCCACACCTTCTATAGAGCAGTTACGGATGCGCAGGCTCATGAAACGACTTGCGTCAGCCTCAGGATGCACTTGCATGATTCACAAGATATCGATATCCCGACTTTCTGGCAGACAAATAATTGGCCGAATCAGAAGATAGACAGCCCTGGCCGTTATGCTGAACAAGGCTTGTTCCGGCAAGGCCTAGGATGCAGGCAAAGGATCCAGACTATTCAAGGCCAGCCTCTCTCGAAGTTGTTGCGCAATGCGACCTTCAGCAGGTCACGCCTACCCTGCCCCTCGTCGTAAGATTGAGGGATCTTGCAAACAGCTGATGTGTCCTTTCCACTGGCCGTCCAATCAGATACAGAGTCATTTACGTCTGCAAGCCAATCTTAACGATACTTTGGTAATGCGAGCTTGGATATCCGGAACAGTGGGGGTGGGCCGGGGCCGGGGCCGGGAGGGGATGCTGGCGTGGGGTGCTGGATTTGAAGACATAGCCCGGACCGTCGCCGGAGATATTATGAAGCATTTTCAGCAGAAACTTTTAGTGCAGTACGCAGCTTGGAAGAATCGCTTGACGGAAGATATCTCCAGAGAACTCGGCGGTGTCATGACATCTGCTCAAGTGCTGTGTCAGCCTAGGCGGACCGGACAATCTTAAAGGCCAAGGGCCTGGGCATCGACGTGGAACCACACCTGACAGGTGCAAATTCGAGTCTTGGCATCAACCTGAAGCTTCCCCATGAACGCGAAGCTGTCGCATCCTCGGGTTTTATCATAAGTAATCATCTCAGCCCAGGGCCAAGACCGGTAATCTGGCGTGCCACAGAACGCGGCTTGAATGCATGCAGGCCGTTTCGGCTCCAGTTGCAAGGGAGCTATATGATGGATGGCAGGGACTTGCGGCCAACTTGGGATGGTGAGATCCTATCGTCTAATGTATTCGCTATCGCTGCTGGACGGGCTACGCAGGGCAGCCGGCGCTACGTCCTCCATGAGGCAGGGGGGGCTGTGCAACCTCCCTACTTGTTTCAGGAGACTGAAACCATGACCCTCGGCGAAATCGCCTCAGAATGGACTCACTCCAAGCTCGAATCACCAAACAGGTCGTAAGACCACGGCATTTAGGTGGTGTTGTTCTCTTCAAACCCCCAAAGACGAGGCCCGCGCGCCCTGAGGACGCAAAGGGCACGCACTCAGATACAGCATGCCTCGACAGGTGTTGACAGCAGCCTCGCCCAGCTTGTTGGAGTCGGTGGTCTCGGATCGGTCAGCGATGGTTCGCAGATCCGCAAATCAGAGTAAGAAATTCGCATATATCGTGTGCCAGATACAGATAGGCAGTGGACTCCCCAGCTCGGCCCAGCCCGTCTAAGGGTGGCCGCCCGACACTACCTTACTTGTTGGGGCCATCTCTCTGAGGCTTGGTAACGCAATTCGTCGTTATCTCCCCTTCCCCCCTTTTGAAACCGAAATGAGATGGCATGATCCGATTCCCAAGCCCACGTGTATGGAAAATGGCCATACGGACCCAGACGCGCGCTTCGAATTTCTTGGCTCCCTTACCCCGTCGTCGCGCCCGCTCCTGATGCAATGCGGGATGGCGAGACCCCACTGGCCCAGTCGAATTTTCTTGATATACAGCACTCAGAACCACACTTTGTCTAAAGTACTCCCTCTGGCCCAGCGTCGTGACTGTTGATCCCGGTGATCGTAGAACATCTCTGTCCTTTTTCCACTTCGTTCTATCATCATCGCCATTTGGCGCACTCGTCCCATATCATCGTTAATAATGCCTGTTATCGATACGCGGCTTATCCAGGAGGGAGTGGTGGAGGTTGGCCACCAGTTAATGAAGAGAAGCGTTGACCATACCGTGCTGGAGGCATTGGCTGTCGGTAAGTTTGGTCGTGCTAGCTATGCGGTTGATTGAGTTCGGTTTCCGCTAATATGTGCTTTGTAGTGGGGACGTCTATTTTCGGAGTGGGTGGATTTATCTATTGGATTAACCACCGGTAGATGCTCAGGCTCCGCGAATGATAATAGGTAAGAACAGACAAAGATGGATGAAAAAGCAGGTCTATGACATAAAGCTGACCCTCGGTCTGATTCGTAGGCGATCCGCTACCGAGCTCTCCTGCGTCCAGAGCACACCTAAGAAGATCCCGACGTTGGCCTCCATGTGTTTCTAACACACGAGCACAAGATAATGGTGCAGGACACCAAGCATTACAAATCCGCTGCTGAGCATAACGGTCCAGCTCTCTACACCTGATGTTGCTACACGCGCCGCAGCCACCTAACTATTACTACACTCGCCTTTTCGAACCCAGAGCGCAAATCCAAGGGACTCGCCCGCATCGGACGAAACGGCCATCAAAAAGTTTTTGGTTTTAATACTGCAGTCGCCTCACACGACTCATGTTCCATATTAGAAGCGTTCTTTCACATTTGATACCCCCCAATTCCATTAGAAGCATACATAGTGGGAAGCAGCAGCAACTGACCCCGAATGTTGAGAGATGAAGACAAATGGTGAAAAATGTCGTTCCCGGTCGATCTTGATTGAGCCTGCAAACTTTCAGAATAGAGGCGAGTCGGATAATTTAGACTTTTAACCATTAAATAAACTCTCCCGAGTCTTTCAACTTCGAAGATCTTTCTCGTCAGGTTGCTCGTGTTTTCAGTACTATGTCATTCAGGGACACTGGTATTGATACTTGGTGTTGTTCCATGAATATTCTGCTTTGGTAACTGTGTTGTGCAGGCGTATTTCGTGATTTGTTAATATGCATGGATATGTCTGGCAATTTTGGATGAGAGACCTTCATCAGGTTCTCGTTACTTTCATGCTGGTACGTTTCACCAGAAGCCATGCCCACGCCCCAACAATTCACAGATAGCTGACACTCTTCTTATGAAGGTTGCAGCAACCACTATATACTCAATTTGTTTCTACATGGGGCCGCATGATATGGTAAGGTCCAAAACTTCTGTTGAAAACTCTCTAGGGGGTCTCATCGTGCCTCAGTGGCTCGAGCCCTTCATGTCTGCGCCAATTGATCTTTCCTTATTGACGATATTGGCGATTGTCAGCACTTTCTTCTAGATCAAACAGTTCAGACAGAGACTATCGTTCGAGATTCCGCTATCATTGTTCAGCTTCCTAGGACGAACTGTCGACCTCCAAGGAGATGTGCCACGAGATATATAAGCATTATTTACTGTCCCATCGTTGCCTTCTCGTCTATTTATTGCCATAAATATATCCCGGTGTAGATCCAAAGGTTCCGGATCACAAGCAAAAAATTTAAAAGCGCGGAATGAGTTAGATGGGCGCAGAGCATTGGCAAAGGCGGATCGTAAGCGCATAGTGGCTTTTGGTCTAGTAGGGCACGTAGTCTTATAATCGCGAGTTTCTGATATTTCAAAACAAAAACAGCGCCGAAAGATCACGCTCAGATTGGGCTCCCTTCCAGCATGTACAAGAACTGATGGCTCCTAATGTACAAACTCGTGAATTAAAGAAAACAGATCCTCTTACACCTCATTAATGAAATAACGAGCCTGATTGATACCAGATACATCTGCAATATAACGAAGGCGACCCCTTAGATATCGTCTCTGCCTCGGCGTAGCGTAATCGCTCTTGATTGCTATAGCAATGGGCCACATCACGATGAGCCCAGCTTCTCCTTTGAGTGGGTCATCTGGCTTGGTCAAGCCGCAAGGGAACTGGGAGACGACGACGCCGTATGCGTTCCAGTTGCAAAAGTATGGGACCCCAGAGACAATGTCGTGGACACAGTCAGTTGACAATCGAGCCAGTGTTTCGTAGTCATCCAGGACCCCCAATTCCTCCTTTCCAGCCGAAGCCAGCCATGAGCTGCAGCGCATCATTGTCGAAATGAGGTTTAGGTGGAAACACCACGAAATTATATGAAGGACGGCCACAGGGAGGTTGTAGAATTTGTAGACTGGGCCTTCGAATGTTGGCTCCGTGTCGAGCTCCTCGTCAGTTCGATCGAACACCCATTCTGCAACCTCGACTTTCCACAGTGGATTTATATTGTCTTTGAGCTGGCGGAACTCGTTCTCTAGTTTTCGGCATTTGCCTAGTAATTCGACCATCTCGTCGATAGCCTCGGGCCCTGGGTGACGTGCTTTGGCTATAAGGGAGTCGACGCATTGCTGGAGCCGGGTGTAATAAATGTTCATATCGGCTGTCTCGCGATTTACGCGTTGACTCGTCTCGTTATGCAACAGCCATGAATACTCAGACATCTCTGTTCCTTTGAATAGATTCTGTATCAGGATACACTGATTGCGGGTCAAGGCGAACATTTCCCGGCCTTCGTCTGTCTCAAGGCACTTTTGGCCGCGCATTCGAATTATTTTGGCAGCGCCTTTGACATGGCTCATGTATTCTTTCATCGAATCCTTGGACATCAAGGTCTGCTGGTGTTAGCCTATTGTAAGCGCTGCCAAAAATGCGATGCTCACCTCGTAAAAAGCGAGCATGAGAACTGCACCGAGTGTTTGGTCGTTTTCCACCTCTATTGGGTCTGCGATTGCTCGTCTCACTGCTCTCAGAGCATTGACGTGATGTTCCTGAGCCCGTACTAGAGCGGGTCCTCTCATGCCTTTGGCCTGCTGCATCGCCAAGCATGCCATAGATGTTGCCTTGAATGCCAGCGAGAGGCATACAGAAATATCTCCACGTCTAAAATAGCGTGGCAGGAAACTGTAGTAGCCACGCGCCGTCGATGTCATGGCCACATTGACGAATTGGGATAGAAAGAGACAGGAGGCCTGCTCGTCGAGTGGATTCATCAGACCACCAGGGACATTTTTGAAGCATTCGGCCAAGTCGCTTTCCTGATCGCCAATTCTGAAAGGTGCCGAGTTTCGCCTTCGGGGACCCGATAGTGTGTTGTCAAAACAATCTCCGGATGATCCGGATTCAGGCGATATCGAAAGATCCGTCGAGTGAGGGGTATGATATGAGGTGGTCTGCCTCAATCTCTTGAGCCTTTCTGCAGACGTCTTCGCCTGGTCTCGACCAACAGGCCCGTATCCTGGGCAGTGTCTTTTCGATTTGGTACATCTCATGCAGAACGGCTTGGCCTCGTCACATTTCACCTTCCGTATTCTGCACAACTTGCAGCCACTGGATGCCCTGCCTGTATATACCATGGTTCCAATATACTGTGATTGTAACAATGGGTTGTGCGAATAAAGTGTGAATATAAATAGATGGCAGAGCTGGATTGAGACTGGGAGTGGATTCCAGGAACGATAAACATGGAGATAAGGCCTTATCACTGGCTCCAACAAGTTTTAAAAGCTGTATCTGCTTGGAATTCATGAGAGGGGCTGGCAGGTATTAATCTAGAGGACTCAGACACAGACCGTAATGAGGGGTGAGTGTTTTATCAAGTCAGGTGATGTGAATCACCAGATCCAAATCCATCTAAAGACAACGCGCCTGCTAGTCAGAAGCGTGCCTTGACATGACGGGAAGAGGGATACCCGCTGGCTTAAGCACAAGTGTCCGAGGACGGCAGTGCATAATTTGGAGCTAGTGTCCCAGCTCAGAGTGGCATCTACATAGTACAACCCATTGCCACCTTTACATTTCATTCTGTGATGCTTAGAAACACATCGCGCATTGATGATTTCGATTGTTATGCTATGTTGTTCGTCGCGCGATTTGTGGCCCCAGCAAAAATGTCATCGAGGCAAACGACTCGAGACGTGCCTCTATGTTTCCGGGCCGTAATATCCCAGTCAACGCTTCCAGAGAGAACCGTGCACGCTGTCATTATGTGACAGGTTCAACTGCATTTAGGAGCGCATGTGCTCTTTGATCATTCTAACTAATCGGATTCGGATGGATGAAAAGTGAAAACGTTTCACAGTTTCCAAAGCAGCTAGCCTTACGCCCTTTCATGGCCTCATTCTCGACCGAGCGTCCTGGGGTTGTTTCGTTTCAAAGAGACGATGACATATTTGAAAGAATCTAAAATATCAAGAGTGCACGAGAGTCAACTCATCCGTCTCGTTCGACGACAAGCTTCTTGTGGGTTGGAGGATGTCTCTCTGCAAAAGCCGCGCTGAACGGGATTGCAGCAGATCAAAGAGACTTCCAGAGGATAGCCCTTAAATCTTCACGAATCGAAACTGAACAAACATTAAGGTGACCACATGGTAACGGAAGATGGATTTAATGTTACTGAGCCTTTGCACAAGCATGTAAGATTCTCTGGGTATAATGTGTGGATAAAGATTTGTAAAATGTAGCTATATGCATAGCACATCTGCAGATTCATTCAGTTCGGTCAATGACAGTGATCATTCCACGAAATTTCAGACTATCCTGAGACGCACTGGTGCCTGGGGTGGCAGCTGCAGAACTTGCATTCCTGGCCAAAGACACATCATGAACCAGTCAGCTGCACGTGCGCAGATCTATTACTCGTTAATTATTAATAAAAGTCATCGTTCAGACCATGCAGGTTGAAAAGTCAGTGCTTTGCTTGCTGTGCAGCTACCAAGGCACGAGCATTTTGTCAGCCAATATCACCAGACACTGGAATCTGGTATACCCGTGTCTAGTGTGTTTCACATTTGAACAATAGTATGATCTCTAGTGTGCAAATCGATTCTCTCATATGGATTTCTAATATTTTCAGTTGCATTATCTTCGGTCCTGGCTCTTGGTAGATGCAGGTAAGATCCACCATTAAGAATACGATAACAAATGGTCAATTATAATGAAGAATACTATGCATTTTGTTTCATCCTTTGGATGAAGCCTTTGGACTTCTTCCAGTCGTGGAACTCATTTGCCAGTTAGGGGTGTGCGAGTCGCCCAAGCAAGCGCCTACATCATGTTGTATACACGTCAGAGCTTTTTGGATTTTAAAAAAGCAGACGTAACACGGCTGATAATGAAACAGACATCCGAAGGATTATAAAGAATTCCTTTCCGTGTCACTCTGGTTTGTCATTTGTCATATTTATCAAGATACATTTCATTAGGGTTCTAGATTTATCAGATGAGTTAAGACACAGACCTGTTCCATCGCCCTACGCCATGTTCTTGAGTGTCGAAATGCTTACTCCCTGGAGTAACTGCAACCTCGGCTTGACCATAGTAAACCCGCTGGTCGCGTAAGAAAGCCGTTGAAACACAACATCTCTGGCCGTCCTTCTAGCAAAGTGGTGCCTCGGTTGAATTTTCGTGTCTATTAGTGGCAATAACTTTGGATAGTCCGGGTAGGCTTCATTTTAGTTTACACTGAATCCGCCTTGTACGCCACTAACACGCGCCAAGCTGAACGATTCACAAGCCTATACTCTCCTGATGTTATACTCTGCCCCTAGTGTCGCAACCTTGGGACTCAAGGCTTCAAATTCAAGTATTTTATGAAATTAGTCTTTACCGAGAATGGGGCACGAAAAGAAGGAAGAAGGTTTGCTTACATGATCTAGCGGCCATGCTGTGAAGCGTTTAGTGCTGGGTTTGAACCGAGTTGATGACCAAGGTCTGCTAGTTTATACCATGAATCTTCGAGGCACTATATCTCAAGTACCAGCCCTTGGCTATGACAGTTTTTCAGCTGGCAGACTGACAAACAATGTTGCTAGTCAGATCCTCGTTGCAGACTCAGCGCTAGTAAGAGCCGATAAGCTTGGATCCGCTCTTGTTATCAAGACCCCCAACCTACTGTCAGTGTTTACCTGCAGTGAACATAACACGCGGCGACTACAAGCTCTCTCAACGATTTATGCTCTTTCGCGTTTCCGATACTATCGTTTCTAATACAATTGTAAATTTCAGGCAATGGGAACCGATGACAGGGGTGGGCAGGGGCTCGAAAGTTTATACCAACGAGGCGTGGGCGTTCCTTTCGTGATGGCCAGCTTATTGTCACCATCAAACCTACCTCAGACCTCTGCCCGGCTTGGAATCTATCTATGTGATCGCTCTCACCGTAATGTATGTCCGTAGTCCAGCAATGACGGCATGTGATTTAATACACAGCCCCTAAATCAATACTAACTTTGGCATGATGGGGGCGCCATGTTTGAACTCTACTAAGTAACAGGGCGTACAAAGATGCTGTTTTTTTTATTGTTCTACTAAAGTTCCTTAACCAGATAGAAACTTGGTAGAGATAGTGACACGTAGCCAGCAAGGGATATGGAACGGAGAGTCTCAAGAATTTGATTACGAAAAGAGTAACTACTACTAAACTACGCAAATGTATTTTCAGGCTAACTTACTAGTACTTATAACATATGAAACCTTGGATAATAAGAATACACGATACGTTCTAAGGAGATTATAACTAAGATACTGTAATTCTTAGCAAATTTATCTCCTTAACCCGTTGTAGCTACCGCTTGGTGTGTCTATGGAACCATGCTGCTTTATTATGAAACAAGAAAACTTGATTTATTGCGACAATGCTAAGGAAATTTGGCACAACTACCTCTTGAAGAAGACAAAACTAGTTTGACTAAAGAACCCCAACTCGTCCTTCACAGCATATTTGTGCTGTCTCGCGGTTATATCTATCGGAATAGAAGTAGAAGAAGCTGTTCCTATATGATTAATCCCGTATCCTTTCTTCTGTCTCGACGCAAAAGTATTTTGGTTTACGAGGTCCATCGACGTTCTACGGTCTACAATAACTGAAGAGATTAATCCACTTCTGACCTTGACTGCTCAAAGTAACTATCACGAGTTGGAGCACACAGCAGGGCATGTATGGACTCGGGTCTAAAAGGCTTAATTGAATGTAAGTGAAGGTAACGAAAGAGAGGTCCTATATATAGGGAACGAATGTGAAACACCACGTGATATAGCACCTGACAGTGCTGTTACATATGATGGAAATGCATGAAGCTATCGTGACAGTAACTACCTAGATATTGTATCAATAAAACTACGCCGGCTCTCTGTGCGATATCTATCCTTCTAAGAATTCCTGGTTATGAACGTTGTATCGCACTTTCTATTTTTATTAAAGCAGGCAGTTTTATGTAGATGATAACACATGACAACTTGGGAGGCTAGATTTGGGAAACCTAGTTAATAAGTAAGACCTTAATTGTACGTAGCCTTAGGACCCCCAGAAGTCAGCCATGTGTGACTTATGAGTAGAACTGAATGGAGAGAATAAAACCTTCCTCTACACTCCCCTGGTTGTTCTGGATCCCATGTTCGCGTAGCTCGCCCTGCAGTTCATTAGGAAGCATGTACGGACTACACTCATTCGATATAGCCACTCACTCCCCAGGCTGAATATAATTTCCAGTCGCTGCCCAACCTGATAAGATCAAGTTACAAGAAGAGTCACATTTCATCAAGTAACGCGCGACTAGCCGGGGACTATACTAGATAACTCCGGGAGGACTCCGGGATTGGGAAAACCAAGATATCTCTAACGCTAGAACGATCGAGATTCCGTTAGTGACCGAGATGCTCCCGCTATATTGTACGATTGCAGCTATTCTACTGTCACAAAATATGGTCTGACAGGGCCAAAATGCCCATATTGGCGGCTTTTCGGAGGTACGTTGCCTTGCGCCTGTGCCACCTCCCTCAAAGTGCACAGCCTACGAGAGCACGCCTAACTGCAATACGTGCCGGCCTGGTCATT